TCTAACCCATTTCTAATATTCTGTGTAGTCCATGAGGTGGCTTACCAGGGAGGATCTTAACCTGCATCTGTCTGGCGTGGGAGAATCATGGCGACTCCCTCACTCAGCTTCTTTCTCCCAGCATTCTCTCTGTTTACTCCACCCACCTATGTTCTAACCAATAAAATGGGCCAAGGCAGTTTCTTTATTATAATTAACCAATGTCCTTCCTCCATCACTAAGACAGAGCCATTGCTGAAATAGCTGGACCCCCACCTCAAGTTGTTCTCTTTTAACATATATGGATTCATTCTACTAGTTCTGTTTTTCTAGAGAACGGGTGTTTTGCCTGCATGTGTACCAGGGTCTCATTATACAGCTCAGAATGACCAGGAATACACTGTAGCCCAGGCTGCCCCTGAAGTTTTCTGCAATCATATAGCCTCCTGAGAGCCATCACACCCAGCTCACAATATCAAAATGCAAAATTATCATTTCTCCTGTCAACTGGGCAGACTTTAAAGAAACCACTGACCATAAAGCCACACTGCAAACAAATGCAGAAACATCAATTACCACCAAAGCAGAGTGTTGGTTTTTTGGTTATCTTATTTTTCTCAAAATCCCATCAGAGCCAAAGAACAAGGAAGGACTTTGCAAACAGGGAAGAGCGACGGTGATACATGGGTCTAAGGTTCTGTCAGGCTAGCGGAGCAAGAAGGAAAATGAATTGTAGACCCACAGCCTCATCTCTTCAGTCATCAGCCATGCCAATGACAAAGATTTAGAATGCATTTTACAGCACCCATTTCTCTTCAGTGACCTAAGTGCTTTTCCTGTCAGCCACAGACAGTAATATTCCGGCCTAATGAAGTTCATCTTACTGCGACAGAAACACCCCAGGAAAGCAGACAACCCTCAGATTCACCTGAGGCAGCACAGGCCCTGACAGTCAGACGATATGTTAAAGCCAGATGTAAGGGACATCTCTGATTCTGTGCACAGGGTGTTTGAGGCCTGAATCTGCCCACAGAGCTGGATGCAGTGGCAGGCATCCAGGACAACCGCCAGAGGTTCCTAGGCTGACTGACCTGAGTACAAGTACACAGGGCAACACCAGCAACAGGAGCCCCTGCCTTAAAACGGGGCAAAGGGTAAGAACATGAATGCCATGGTAAGTTCACATGCATGTGTGTGCATGCATGCATGTGAGTGCACACACACACACACACACACACACACACATCCTAAATACATAAATAAATACAAACACCAAAACCTAAATGGGGTTGAGCGTGATAGTAAACATATTTAATCCAAGCACTGGGGAGGCACAGGCAGGCAGTCAGATCTGTGAGTTCAAGGCCAACCTGGTCTACACAGCAAACCCCAGACGAGACAGAGTTACATGGTAAGACACTGTCAAAAAAAGAAAGAATATAAGTGGGCCAGTGGGAAATGTTGGATATGGGTGGGATAAGGCAGGATTTTCTTTTTATTTAGAAAACATGGAGGAAATATCAAATTCAGACCCCAGTGCTTAAAATCAGAAGCCAGGGAGAGATTGAGGGATGGGGTGGCCAAGACACCGGGGAATGTGGAGTGGCTGGTTTCTTGGAGAAAGCAAAGAGAAAGGGTATTTCCAGAACAGCTGTGAAACTCCATTGCAGGGCAACTCATTTCCCATTTCCTTGGCTGAAAAAGTCCAACCTTCTGTTCTGGACTCAGCCACAAAGCATAACAGGAAGTTGCAAGACCAAGAGACCAGTCTCTAGTGTCTCCCTCCCCAACATTATCCCATACTTTTCCCAATTCCTATAGCCTGAGCAAAGGCCATCCATAGCCTTGGTGCCCAGAAAATTTAAAACACCACACCCAGGTGTTGTGTAATACCATGGGGAAGAGGGATTCTTAACTATGGACATAATGCATCGCATTGAAGAAAATAAATGAGAACAGGCCTCACTCAAAAAAGAGGATCGGATGTGTAGGTCAGGTGACAGAGAGCTTGCTTAGCATGCAGGAGGCCCTAGACCCTCAGCACTGCATAAAACTCAGTGTGGCAGTACATGCCTTTAACTCCAGCAGTATAGATTTGGAGCCAGGAGGATTATAAAATCAAAGTTATCCTTGGCAAGTTCCAGGATAGCCTAGGATACAGTGAGGAGCGGGGAAAGGAGGAAAAGTAGGGCACATTGCATATGCACAACGCCTGGACACAGACAGAAACACACGCACACACGCATCTCTCAAATGAAAAGAGAAGAAAGGATAGCATTAATTTAACAGACAGCAGATAATCCTGTCATGTTTGAAGCTGCTAAAAATCATAAAATAAAAGGAACATTTTTTTAAAAGTACAATCATGAGGACAAAGTCAAGATATCAATAAAACCTAAGCATGAAAGAAGGGCAAGTCATAACACTTTTGCTTGTTCTAGAGAAAATAAAAGCTAACATGCCTATGAAAAATATAGCTACAAACATTAGACAAATGGAAATATGAAAGAGAATGCAGAAAAAAAGAAGATTGAAAAGAAGATAAATCAGGCATCTCCACACACAAAGCCAAAGCTAGATGCAGTAGCCCACTTGTAATCCCAACATTCCTATGGTTAGATGGGAAGTGGAGACAGGATGCCCAGAGGCCAGTTAGCCAGGGGTACACTGGGCAGCAGAGACAAGACAATATTCCTTCAATTAGACAGAAGGCAAGAACTGACCCCAGGAATGGTTCTCTGACCTCTGCAAAATGCGCTGGCATATACACATGCATGCACACTCACTACAAATATGGAAACCTTCAACCATTAGCAAACTAAATCCATAGCAACGTATATCCATTCTAAGATAGCTCATTATCAGGAAATCAACTGACAGGTGGGCATGGTGGCACATGCTTTTAATCCCAGCACCCAGAAGGCAAAGACAGGTGGATCTTTATGAGTTTGAGTCCACCCTCGTCTATATAGAGAATTATAGGCCAGCCAGGGCTACATAATGAGACTCTGTATCAAAAGAAAAAACAGTCAATTAACTAATGCAGGAAAAATTAGCCATTAACTAAGGCAGAAAGAATAAGTAATATAACAATATTCATAGATGCTAAATGGTGCATTTTATAACTATTCCATTCACTTCCTGATATTTTTAAAATCAGGGGCTGGAGTAATGGCTCGGTGGTTGAGAGCACTTGCTGCTCTTCCAGATGATTGGGGTTCAATTCCAGCACCCACATGGCAGCTCACAACAGTCTGTAACCCCAGTTACTGGGGCTCCAACACTCTCTTCTACCCTCCACTGATACTAGGCACACACTTCGTGCACTTACATGCATGCAGGAAAACACCCACACACATAAAGTAATTCTTTAATTAAAAAATGAGTGAAAAAAGTTTTCGACTTAATAAGAAACCAGTAGCAAACAAAGCATTAGTACTCAATGCATGCCCCTTTGATAAGGAGTTGGTGGTGGTGTTTGGGGAGACTTAGGAGGTGTGGCCTTGCTGAGAGAAGCAAGGCACTGGGAGCAGGACTCATTTTCATTGGCTCTCTCTACTTCCCGTTTGCAGTTTGCAGATGGGAGCTCTCAGCTTGCTGTTCCCGCTGCCACTGTTGCCGGCTGCCATGCTCCTCACCCCATCATGATGGCAATGGTTTCCTTACCTCTCTGGAACCTGACACCCATGTCAACCCTCCTTTTCATCTGTGAGTCACCTGGCCATGGTGTTTGTCACAGCAAGAGAAAAGAAACTAAGACAAGGTATTCAGAATTGGTGAGAATTTACCTGGCTGCTAGGTAAAAATTTAAAAACAAGCCTCCTCCAATAACAATAAGAACACTGGTGAGGTTTGAGACCTTCGTCTTTAATATCGGGGCATAAAAAATGAAAGGGAACCTGAGAAGAGGCCTGTCCAATGGGAATTTGGCTGTAAGTACATAGCCAATAATAAACAGTGGATAAATATTTAATGAAGAAATTAATGGAATCTGAACTTCCCGAGGAAGTCTGGGTTCTCTCTTCTACTTCCTTTGGGAGGACAGACTGTTTTCTTGCCAGCTAACATAAGCCTTTCTTCAAGGTATGCAGGTGTTTGGCCTATATGCACGTCTGTGTACCATATATGTGTCTGATACTTGAGGAGACCAGAAGCAAACACTGGATCCCCTGGGACTCCAGTTACAGACAGCTGTAAGCTTCCGTGTCCTCTGGAAGAACAGCCAGTGCTTTTCCTGCTGAGCATCTCTCCAGCCCCAGTTCTCTATTGTTTTCATCATGCACGTTTGGATGGTTAAGGTATTCCATCTACTATAAGATGCATTGATATCTACTATCAAAAGTCATCAAAAGCAGGCACAAAGCTGATACGGTGGCTCATAATTCTAATCCTAGAACTGAAAGGCTGAGGCAGAAGGATCACCTTAAATTCAAGGCCAGCCTGAGCCACAAAGTGAGATGCTATATCAAAAACAAAAGGCAAAAAGTATTTTTAGTCATATAAGATATGTTCACCTAGGGCCTGCAAGATGGCTCAGTGGGTAAATGGCACTGGCTGCCCAGTCTGGCAACAACAGAAAAGAACAAATTCCCACAAGGACCTTCACCTACACACATACACACACACACACACACACACACACACACACACACACACACACACACACCACACAAAAACAAAAGTAAAGAAAAATATTTAAATATGTTCACTGAAGTTACAAATCACTTAGAAAAATATCTTCTGAACCTTACAAATCGCATTAGGTTATTAAAACAACCTAATGAGGTGTTCTTATTATTATTATCATCCCTTTGTATTGATGTAACAGCCAGGAAGTGATTTTATCACGATTCTCTTGGCAACCTCAGAGGCTCCATTGTGCAGTAGCTTGCTGGGCAGGCCTGCATTTACAGCCTTTAAGCAATCTCTCTAAGGCAAAGCTCCTAACATCACAGAGGCACTTCCTACTGTGGGAGGAACACTGGGCGGCCCATGCATATCACCTACTTGGCTCCTGGCCACACTGTCAATCACTGTGAATTGATTCTCCTCACTCATTTACTGCAACATCATAACCCCAGACAATGAAGTTTTTCTGATTGACTAATAAGCTCACAGTAAGACTTCTCTATGTAGCCTCATAATTTAAACCCAAACTTGGAAACAAAATACTGTGCTTCTGTTTGTTGTACATTAAGGTCAACACCTGAAGACCTGGTCATCTACACATACTGGCTTAGGTGAGATGAAACTCTTCTCTCCCCACCCCCATCGAGACAGGGTTCTCTGTGGTTTTGGAGCCTGTCCTGGCACTAGCTCTGTAGTCCACGCTGGCCTCGAACTCACAGAGATCCACCTGCCTCTGCCTCCCGAGTGCTGGGATTAAAGGTGTGCACCACCACTGCCCGGCTGAAACTCTTCTTGGAACATCACAGTGCACTGTAAATACTCTCACATTCTGCATTCACACACTGTAGAGAAAGCCTGAGAGGACCAGAATGGTTGGAGAAAAGCAACAACACAACTGTGGTTGAAGGTGCAAGAGCAACCATTTGGTTCAAACCACCAACTGAGATGTGTTTAGAAAGCTGCAGATGCAGGTGAGTGCCACAGCGCCACACCTGGACCACGCCTGGGCCACACCTGGAGAGGATCTTGTGGCAGCAGGACAGGATTTCTCACTGAACCTGCAGTGAGCCATCTGAGCTATCCTGGCTGATCAGTGAGTTCCTGGGATCCTCCAGTCTCCATCCTCACAGCACTGGGGTTACAGGCACGTGCCACAGTGCCCAGCTTTTTACAAGGGTGCTGGGGAACCAAATTCATGTCCTCATGTTTGAGTACCAAGCACTTTACCCACTGAGTGTCGAAACACAGTCCAAGAATAGAGTCATGCAAGGAGAATTCTGAGTGCTTATGAAAACACTCCAAGTCTTGTGACCTCAGTTTCTTCAAAACATAGACTTGTTCTTACAATGTATTTTCATGCTCCTCCCAGGTGATCAGATAGGAATAAACTTACTTCAGATTATTGCTTGCTGTTGCTAGTGAATTAAATGGTTAAACTACCCTTTATATGCCTCTGTGGAAAACATGTTTTTGCCACATGTAGCTTGTCCTTGTGAATGTATATAGCATGAACTAATGAAATCTTTGCTCATGTGACCTTTCTTAACCCTCAGTATATATTGTCTGATGCTCAGAATAAAGTCAGCTACTGCATGAGACTAGTTCATCTCATTTATTGGCTTCATTCTCCCAGGTCCCACTGCCTGGTAGTTTATGCCTATAATCCTATCATTTAATAGGTTGAGGAAAGAGGATAGCTGTGAATTCAAGGCCATCCTGGACCAGGTTATAGACCAGCCCATGATATAAAACCAGCTCCCAAGTGGTAGCTACTTAGGCCCTTTGTTTTGCTACTAGCCATAACACTAAAACAAGTATCTTTATAAGGACATATCACTTAGCGCACGTTCATTTATTGAGTCATGTCTATGTACCTATACCACCCTAGGTTTTATTCATACATTGAAATTACATCAATAAACTGATTCCATAAAACTCTCTTCCTCAAGTAGTTTATAGCAATGGAGAGACGGGTACTAAGTAAAACATCTGCTGGTATGAAAGCTGTTAAACAAAATAAAGTAGGGTAGAAAGCTATACAATGGGGGCAAAGAAGGCACTAATATACCATAGTTGTCTCCCTTACCTATGGGGTATACATTCTAAGAGATCCCCAAGCAAAAAGAGATCCTGAAAGGGAGGCTGGAGCTGAGACCTTTGAATGTTTTCCCCTATGGCAGTTTAATCTATAAATGGAACACAGTAAGAGATTAACAATCCCTACTGAAAATGAACCAGTTATGATAATATGACAATAAATTGTCAGTATCACTGTTCTTGGAGGCCTAGTGGTTGGAAAAAGAATGGCTCTGGTGTTTGAACACATGGTCCCCCAGGTAGTAGTGCTGTTTGGGGAGGTTTAGGAGGCAAAGCTTTGTTGGAGGAAGTGTTACTGGAGGTGGCTTTGAAAGGTTCTCTCCTCTTCATGCTTAGCTTAGCAACTGAGGCTGTGAGCAGTCAGCTTCCTATTCCAATGTCCACTCATTACCTCCACTCTGCCCTGGCTGGATATTACCCTCCAGAACTGTTAAGTAGAAATAAACTCCCCCTTCTGTAACAAAAAACTCTTAGGGAGCCATCTTAAGTAAAACAAGGGTTGAACTGATAACTTAGATTGCTTTTAAGTAGTCAGTGAAAAAGACAGTGTATCTAAAACCAACATCCTGAGCCAAGGTCATCCTTGAGCTGGGTGGACACTGCAGAAAGGTGTTGGATTTTAACCTGCTTCTCTAGCTGGGTGTAATTAAAAACTTAGAAACCGTATGTTTAGATCTTTCAATATAAGAGTATTGGGCTACCACTGTGTTGTAGGAATTCCTACAGCCAATAGCCTTTAAGTTACCCACCCACTTGTGCTGGCCTCTTATACTATAAATACCAATGTAAATCATGGGTCCAGCCTCTCTTCCGGCCGTGTGATTCGGTTCCTGTTCCCCATTCGTGCAGAGGACTGTGATCTGTGAGTCTACCCCTAGACAAATAATTCTTTATTATACTCAATTCTGAGGTAATGTGGGATTCTTTTTAGCATCTTTCTTCATCTGGTGCCCAAGTGAATCCGGACTTCACACCTACCAGATGGACTGGCTCAAAGGCCTAACCGGTCCACAGCCTAGAAAGTCTCCCAACCCCACCCGTTTGGCTTGCTTTTATCTAAGTGGTTTTTTGTAAAACCTCCACCACAGGAGAGCTAACTGCATGCAGTGATTTGGAAATTTCCCAAGCTTGCGAACATCTCCTCCCCACTGCAATGTTCCTTGCCACATGGCGATTTGTGCAACTTCTGGTTTGTGCTCCTTGTCCATGAGTTCTGGGCTTCTTGCTCCGTGTACAGAATTGATTTAATTGCTTTTAATTTGTCAAGCAAAACATATTTCTCAGTATTTCACCAGTACTAAGGAAACCAAAGCAGCTCAGGACCATTTGTGTCGACACCGGTTGCATTGCAGCTAGTCACAACCATGACACCTGCTGGATAATAAAGATTGTTACACCCAAAACAATTTACCAGACCTCAAAATCAATAAACTTGAAAGTAATATAATGGCAGACAACATTACCATTGAAACTTTTAGTAACTTTTTTGGCTAATACTAGATTGTATTTAGCAAGGCTTATATGGTTATGGTGATACATCCATTTATTGGATATTAGGACTCAGTTTTTTTCTTCATATTATATCATTAAGAAAATGGTTTGATAACAGAGCCAAGAATGAGGCACTTTTAGGAATGATACAGTCTTTACAGACTAATAATGAACAGCTAGCTGACAGGATTGATACCATCGAAAATCAAAAGTTACCTAAAAAAAATTAATACTATTAAAAGAGTAACATTAATTTGACAGACAAAATTTAATCTATATCAAAAGTTACTGAGAAATTATCTCAAGGAATTCATACTATTAAATTTGACAATCAAAATTTGTTAAAAAGTTATGATAGGTTAGCAGATAGAGTATCTTTCCAGGAAAGCAATTTGCATGCTATCCAATAATGTCCAAGGATGAGGTCCTTGGAATCACATGTACAGAATGAGGACCAGAGGCTAGGTGCCTCAGTGAAATCACTAGAAATATACACAGGCCAGGAGATTCAGGCTTTACAAAGATAATAATAATACAAAGATTTAAAATAATTGAGGAAATTATTAGAGCTGATGAACAGGGATAGAAGGCACAAGGACAGGATTCAACATCACCAGTAGCTGTCAGAGATGACTTACCCAGGGATTTAGCTTCCTATCCTGTAATCTACTATGACAAAGCATCAAGTTCTAAAGGCCCAAAAAGATCCAAAGAAGGTAGATGGATACCCATAGGAATGAATGATCTAAAAGAAATTAAGCAAGCTGTAGTAACTTAATGGCTTGTAACCACATTTAAGGGAGATGGTAATGACATGGGCTTCTAGCATTAAAGCCACACCACATGACCTTCAGTTACTTTCAGGAGTCCTGGATGATGGGCCTCAACTGCTGTGGAAATGTTATTTGCCAGACAGCCCTTTAGTGACTTTTTACAAAGATTGACCAAGGCTGTACAAATAGGAGTAACAGACCCATATGCTAGACGAGTACTTATTGAATCTCTAGCTTTTGAAAATGCCAACTTAGAATCCAAAAAGATACCTGGGCCTTTAAAGGTTAGATCAGCACATATGGATGAATGGATCCTGCATACAATTAACATTGAGACATTTGACTATAATACTGAATCTTGGGTAGGAGAAGCAATTTCCAAAGGTATGAAGAGATATCAAAATGCCAAATGTTTTAACTATGACAGAATAGGACATCTGAGAAGGGACTGTAGACAAGGAATTCCTAGAAATAATGTCTCCTCTGGGAATTGCAAAAATAAAAGGTACTAGATTATGTAGAAGACGTGGCAAAAGGTCGACATTGGACCAATAAATGCAGATCAACAAAAGACAGACAAGGCAACCGATAGCATTGGGAAACTCCTTGGGGAGGCCTCTTGCAGGCCTCCAAGTAAAAAGTGGTCCAGTCATTCCCAGT